AAGGAAAGGAAAGGAAAGGAAAGGAAAGGAAAGGAAAGGAAAGGAAAGGAAAGGAAAGGAAAGGAAAGGAAAGGATCATGGGTGTGATCCTCAAATATCGTATATGATCACTACATAGTTTTAGCCTTCCTGTGGTGTTGATTTCATGGTTCGGTCTACCTAGTGGGGCTGACAACATGTGAATGTCAAACTTCTTCTTGAATGCATATAATGAAAAGAAGTCCACCACTTCCCTGAGTAAATGATTCCACTGTCAAACAGCTCCACTCTTAAGAAGATTTTTCTAATTCTATCATATTTGACTTCCTGTAATTTAAAGCCATTTGTCTGTGTCCTGCACTCTGTAATGAAAGACAGCATCTTTTGGCCTTTTTATGTGTCATCGTTCAAGAAGAGTGCCATTTTATCCCTCTGCAGTCAACTTTTTCCAAGACTAAACAAACTGAGGTCCTTCAATTATTCTACCTAGGACTTAGTTTCTAATCCCTAGTCATACTGGTCATCTTTCTCTGAACCTGTTCCAATTTCTCTGCAACCTTTTAAGAGTAATGCTAGAACATGACACTGTATTCAAAATAGGAACTGGCCAAAGCAGAAGAAAGTGGAATGATTAACACAGCCTAGAATTGAGAGTCAGTTTAATGTAGTGGTGAAGGCATCAAGCTAGAAATCGGGAGACCGTGAGTTCAAATCCCACCTTAGGCACAAAGCCAGCTGGGTGACCTTAGGCTAGTCACTCTCTCTCAGTCGTAGGAAGTAGGTAATGGCAAACCACTTCTGAAAAACCTTGCCAAGAAAATGACAGGGACTTGTCCTCGCAGTCACCAGGAGTCAACACTGACTTGAAGGAGCCAGACATAAATCCATCCATACAGACAGACAGACATAAAATTCCATTCATCTTCTTTGCAGCTACAGCATACTACTCATTTATATTCAATCTATGATCTACTACTACGCCAAGCAATATTACTAAATCAGGTATCCCATACTCTATACCTGTGCATTGAATTTTTATTTCATAAGTTAGGAACTTTCCACTGGTCTCTGTTCAATTTTATTCTGTTACTTTCAGCCCATTTCTTTAACCTATTAAAGTTATTTGGAATTTATTTTGGTCTTCTAAGCAATTAGCTCGTCCACTCAAGTTTGTGTCATCTGGAAGTATGGTAAATATTTCCCCACCTCATTATTAAGTCATTAATGAAATTATTGAAATAAATCAGGATTCACCTTTTTGGCATTTGATATCTCTCTGCAATATGATGAGGAACCACTGATTGGCACTCTCTGAGTACATTTTTCATGCTATATAACTAATACATTTCCATGTCTTCCAGACCATATTATTTTCCCCATAGCATGTCATGAAGTCCATCACCAAATGCTTTGCTGAAGGGAACATATATTCAAACAAATGATTAAGGAAGTTATCTGATCAAAAATAAGATAATATCCATTGGTAATATTTGTTCTTTAATTACAGTATTGTTTTCAGTGTATTTTCAGATTGGTCTCATTATGATCAGCTCTAGATTCTTCTAGATATCAGTGTCAGATCTTTTGGTCTCTGGCTTGCTGAATCTCTCTTCTTGTTTTTGAAGGCAGAAACATTTCCTCTCCTCCAGTCATCTGGCATTTCATCAGTTCATCAGGAATTTCAATGAAAATACATATGAGCTTGGCTAACTATCAGCTCATTCTTTCACTACTAAAGGATATTGTAGTGGGGAACACCTGGACCTTTAAATCACAGGCCAGCTTTATGTGGTCACCTGACTCCTGAGAGCCAATAAAGGAAAAGAAGGGAGGTTCTGTCAGGTTTTGGCTGGAAAAGTTTGGTGTCTTTGGTGAGAGTCGCCTGGAGTCCAGGATGGGGGGTTACCTCAGGCAAGGTTGGAAATTGAATTATTTCACTAAGGTGAGAATGGCATTAGGGTTTTGTGTCTGTGTGTGTGTGGGGGGGGGGGTTGGTATTTTATCTTTTTTTAACTGTGTGTTGTGCATGGAACCTTCTATCACCCACCTCAGCTTGGTTGAGCTATTAACTTCCTCAGGTTTTTTTTGGTTTCCCTTTCTGTCTTTAATCAGACCTGGAGTGGGGCGAGGATTCCCCCTTCAATCCTCTCTTGGTTCCCCAGAGGGCCGGCGTCGAAGGGAGAAACCAGTTTATAGTGAAGGGTTGGTGGCTGCAGCTGAGGGACCTGATCTTCCAGTTGCTGTTTGCCCAAAAATGCGGTTACCTCAGAACTGAGGTACCCCAGAGGAGGGGCTAGTTTGACTCTGAGGTTGCCTTTTCCAGTATTACAGATGTATTTCATCTTTTTCCTATAGATTTAAAGTTAAGAAGAATTTCCTTATCCTGTTTCAATCAATCCCAACCTCACTCCTACCCCTTTATCCTTTTCATCACAGTTTCTGAGGTCATCATCCTTCTCAATGAAACTCTGATTTCCTGCTTTGATTTGGTCCCCTCATAAGGCCACACATCACAACAATTAAACTTCCGCAAGGGTTTGCTTCCTTGATTTAAAGAAAGCCAAAAGAATTGGCTTCCCTGTCTCCTTCACTCATTTTATTGAATGGGGTACACCAAGACTGCTTGGAAAGTACTACTGGCCATCAGCCAGGGCCT